TCAAAATGTTGAAATTGTTGGCAAAAAATAGAAAATAATTACCTTTTAACTTTGGAGTTGTTTATCAAAAAAATCTTATTAGTTCACATACAGAGTCATACAATATTTCATTACAAAAAAAGTTCGTTATTCGGTAGGTCTAAGTAGGATTTAGGGAAATGAATAACGATCGGATTATTTTTTGGAGCTTGGGAACTCATCTGACAATCCATTTCTTAGTTTAACAAGGAAAGCAAGTAAATATTTTTGAGCAATGTTTCTTAAGTTACCATATTGTTTTATTGGTTCACAAAATTCATATAATACTTGGAAATTCTGTTTAGAAATTGAAGTTAAATATTTAAATTCTTCTAAACTAAAAGAATTTTTGTCTTCCCAATTTTTAACTTATTATTAGCAGTAGCAGCCGCTCTTAAATTAACGAGGAAGAATGGTCTATAAACAAAACGCAAACTAGCATGTAAATTAATCATTAGTAAACTTGAAGATTTAGATCAGCTGTACTTAACCTTTTTTTCTTTCGGGTCACATAAATCTTAAGTGTAAGGGTTAAAGAAAAGGTCCTTTATTTCTCACAAGTCAATTTAATTGGCGACCGGTTTCGAAGCTGTCACTTCATCATCAGGCACACCTAAATGGAATGTCAAGGAGTCAGTTGTAATAAAAAACAATTATAAAAGCATGACCGGACTTTAACATATACAAAATAACAGAAAAAACAGAAAAAACACAAAAGAAGTTAAACAATAACCTTGACTCACCTTGACTATTTCCATAAAGGAAGCGCTACTAAAAGTTTAACAAAACGAGTTAAAAAAGTCATATGTAATACAATAGTATTTTTTTAAAATATTGTAGGTTAGGTTAAACCGCGAGATGTCTGTTTGAATAAATTAATTAAAACACATGTAAGACTATTATTAACTAAACAACACAAAATAGTTTTTACAAGCACAAACAGTTTAAAAATTTTTAAGGATATAACGTCAATTAATAAAAGTAAAAAGTAAAAATTATCAGACTCTCAAGACATCTATCTAGATTTACTACATTGATTCGTTAAAAAATCTAGATAGATGTCTTGAGAGTCTGATAATTTTTACTTTTTACTTTTATTAATTGACGTTATATCCTTAAAAATTTTTAAACTGTTTGTGCTTGTAAAAACTATTTTGTGTTGTTTAGTTAATAATAGTCTTACATGTGTTTTAATTAATTTATTCAAACAGACATCTCGCGGTTTAACCTAACCTACAATATTTTTAAAAAATACTATTGTATTACATATGACTTTTTTAACTCGTTTTGTTAAACTTTTAGTAGCGCTTCCTTTATGGAAATAGTCAAGGTGAGTCAAGGTTATTGTTTAACTTCTTTTGTGTTTTTTCTGTTTTTTCTGTTATTTTGTATATGTTAAAGTCCGTTCATGCTTTTATAATTGTTTTTTATTACAAATGACTCCTTGACATTCCATTTAGGTGTGCCTGATGATGAAGTGACAGCTTGGAAACCGGTCGCCAATTAAATTGACTTGTGAGAAATAAAGGTCCTTTTCTTTAACCCTTACACTTAATCCCTACTACTCACATATGGCTACCCTCACTCCAAATCACATAAATCTGTTTGTTATGTTACACGGGCTACAATATTTTTGGGTGATAACTAAAGTTGTCACCTTTTTGAAATGCAAATAAAGGACAATGGGTGAAGATAGGGATCTGCTTTAAATATTTTCTAAAAAAAAAGGTCCTCATGTTGTTTTAATACAGGACTGTAGCTCAACCATTTTAGTTACTAATAATCGTGTTTGTGGCTGCACAAAAAGCTTGGAGGGCCGCACACAATAGCTTGGGGAGCCGAATGAGGCCCGCGGGCTGCAGGTTACGTATGGCTGATTTAGATGAATTCACAAAAATCTTCAGATATTTGGGCACATAAATATTTGAAACTAAAAAAATATTTGTTCTGCTTACTGCCGATAGTTTTCTTACATTTACTTGTGCGTTACAAATTATACAACCACGAACTGAGTGAGGTGTTAAAACGTTAAGTCTTAGGCAAAATTTAACATATCAAAAATTCAGACATTTTGACGGTACTATATAAAGCCTACAATAACTTAAAAAGTCAGGAAGTTTAATTTTTCATTAAACTTAATTGACACATTCGTTTCTTTTTTAGATTACCTGATACAGGTTTATCTTACACTAGTTTACATTAGTTTTATTTATCTGATTTATGTTATTTACAAATGTAATCTACATAACTTTTGTTGTATATATTTGTAAAATTTAGAACTACCTTTTTCCCAATAATCATGAATATATATCGAAACAAATATGTAAAAGTTAATTGTCTATTTCATCATTTAGTAACATCCATTCACACCTTATGCTTAAGTGCATTTGAATCCTTTTAATAATTTTGTTGTTTTCAATCATTAAGAATATACGATAAGTTGTTTTGTAAGAGGTTACAATAATTTTAGATTTTTTAATTTCAGCCATATCTTTTCATAGTTAATTTTGACTTGATACAAACATTTTATATGTAATGTGGTGAAATAAATATAATACAGGGTGTTAAAAAAAGTGTCACAAAATGAAATGGTGAATAGTATGACCCAAAATAAGCAGAAAAGTATTAATAAATATATGACCGCAAATTAACGGTTTCGGAGATACGGCCCATTTTGTGTTTATAACAATTTTTTATTATTATAAAAAAACAATGATATTTATAAACAATCAATAACAACATAGAGTTAAATGAGATGTTCAAAGTGCCCTCCCTCCATTTTAATGCAGCTACGACATCTCCTCCGAAAGGACTGTCGGATTCTTTCCAAAACACCCTCATTGGCTAGGATTCGATGACATCCCTGCTCTATTCGTTGCTGCAGCTCTTCGAGGTTATTCACAGGAGTGGCGTACACTAAATTTTTTAAGTGTCCCCAAAGAAAAAAGTCAAGCGGATTTAAATCAGGCGATCTTGCAGGCCATGGCACAGGTCCGCCCCTTCCTATCTATCTTCGACCAAAGGATCCGTCTAAATGTTCTCTTACGGCAACTGAAAAATGCGCCGGAGCACCATCGTGCTGGAACCACATTTGATTTCTTTGTATTAAAGGAATGTCATCTAAAAGATCACCCAATGTGTTCTGCAAAAAGTTTAAGTAGTCAGCTCCCGTTAATCGGTTCGGTAGTACAATCGGACCTAGTAACCAGTCGCCATAAATACCCATCCAAATGTTTAATGGAAAACGAACTTGATGCCTGGATTCCACGATACTATGGGGATTTTCGTCGGCCCACATATGCAAATCATGGAAATTAAAAACTCCATTTCGTGTAAACCCTGCCTCATCAGTAAAAAGAATTAGTGCAATAAAATTGGGATCCTCAGCATCATTTCTCAGAAACCATCGACAAAACTCCAAACGTGCTTGATAATCAGGTGCATTCAGAGCTTGCACTCGTTGAAGATGGTACGGGTAAAGCTGCTGCTCGTGGAGGATTCTCCAAACCAGAGGAGCCCCAATTCCTACCTCCGCTGATATTCTTCGCACACTAGTTTCTGGATTCTCTTCTACTCGTGCTAAAATTGCTTCTTCTGCCTCAGGGGTGGATACCGACCTTGTTCTCCCGGAATCATGTGACTGTTTCCCAAATTTACCTGAATCATGCAATCTTTGGTGCAATCTTCCAAACACACGAACTGAAGGGATGTGGCGATTAGGGAAAGCGTCGATATACTGACGTAGCGCTTCCCTCGCATTGCCATTTGCACGACCGTACATAAAATGCATGTCAGCTAATTCAATATTAGTGTAAACAGGCATAACGAAAATTTATAAAATTATTCACCCACAACAAAATAATAACTGCAAATAGTATCTATGAAAAAACATCGGTAGACTCCGATAAGAAAAGCAAGTTTTTGAGAATGAAAAAAGATAATCAAAAAATGATACAAAACACAAAACACTCCGTATCTCTGAAACCATTCATTTGCGGACATATGTTTATTAAGACTTTTCTGCATATTTTGGCCCATACTACCCCCCGTTTTATTTTGTGACACTTTTTTTTAACACCCTGTATAATTTTACTTTTAATAAATTAAACACGCTCACTAGTTATCATTGTTATTTATGCCCCTTTTTACTATAAAATTTTATGTGATGTAGTGAAATAATTTTTGTCTACTTTTACTAAATATAAACACTTATAAAGTTTTGCTTTTTATTTTCCTGTTCACTATAAATTGGTTGATATATTAGTTAAAGAAAGGACTTAAAAAAACCACACATATAATATAAACAAAATAGTTTTATTTTGTCCAATATTCTAAGTACGGACCTATTAACTCCTTCCTGCGCATTTTTGCTAATCTCAAAAATAATAAGATGGCGGCTCATAATAAACTTTTATGGTTCCTAACACTCTAGATCTGTGATCTCAACAGAGAAGACCCAAATTACAACATTTTATAAGAACCCCTCTTTAAATGATTGTTTGATTGTTAAAATTGTTAAAATATTGGAACATCATTATGAAACAACCTCTAGATCATTAGTTATATTATTACGAAAATATTGTATATCTGAAAGATCAAAATATTATTTATCTACACACTGTACCGGCTATTGAACGCTTTCAAATACGCTTTGCAAATATCCAAATGAGTTAACTTTACGGCGAGCAGGAATCGAATATCAACGAGTTTACATCGAACAACGCACACATCTACGTTGTTATTATTCATTTCCTGCTCGCCCTAATGCTAATTCTCTGTAGGTTTCACTTCGTTATTAGCAAAGCCCATTGGAAAGTGTTCAATAACTGACATAGTATAATAATTATCTATCTATCTAGGCGAGAATGGAATTTTATGTTTTCTGTGACGCGAATTTTGAAAACTACAAATAATCTAACTATAACAAACGTATTACTGGTGAAGAATTAAAAATGTTTTTAAAAATAGTATTTTTGTTTTAGGTACTGGAACATTTGGTAGGGTACTTCTATGTAAAAATAAAGAAACAGATGAGTATGGAGCTATGAAAATTCTTTGTTTAGCCGACATTATAAGACTGAAACAAGTAGAACACGTAAAGAATGAAAAGAATATATTGCAAGAAATTAGGCATCCTTTCATAGTTAATATGTAAGTATTTTATAAGCATATGTATTATATTCGAGTTTAAATCACAAACTATAAATGACATATTATACATGATGGAGAGTAATAAATAAGACTAACAAAATATATCAACAAACATACGTAGTAAACACTATGGATACAACAATTTTCTTAATGCAAATACTACTTACTATTGTTGATCAATTTAATTGCGTCAAAACCAAAATAACCAAAGTTAATATAAAAATATTATGTATTAATCAGAAAATTAACTATTTTTTTTTTCTTTAGTGTACGGCTTCAACATCTAAGGTCATTAGCCTAGTGTTCTATGTAGGTTATGGATTGTACTAGTAGTCTAATACTGCATAGTTTAGAAGTATTAGTACTCTAATACTCCTACAACCCTACAGACAGGCCTTGTTACTGTTTCCTTGCGCCACTTTAGGAATAGCACTGTTAATTAGAACTTAACAGTGAATGGTCGAGTGGGGAATCCTACCAAGGCATCAGAATTAATTTTAAATAATTAAATTAAATAAAAAAATCCCGGCCAACGGTGGGATTCGATCCTGAGACCTTCCGATCTCAAAGTCATGACTCTAACCACTGAGCCAACCCACCCCCCAACTATTTTTTTAATGTAACCTCAATTTTATTAAAAAACATCTGTTATTTTCTATATCCATGTTGCCAATGTTTTAAGTGACTGTATTTGATAAAATATTGGACAATCGGTAATACTATTGATGGTAACGTACGGAAATAGAGTGTCAGTTCCATAAAAATTAATAATTTATTTCGTTTCGGTCCCTAAAAAACTCTTTTACTTTTAATTTCCGCCATATTTGGCGATTTATACATTCATTTCTATTAAATTGTAGTATGCATTGTCAAGCAACGTCTTTAACAATTAAAGAGGATAGCTGAATTCGATCAGCCGTAACGTGACGTCAGCCCCTGGATGCTTTCAACGGTTCGGCCTTTTCATATTCTATTTATTTTTAAACTAAAAGGTTTTCCAGATATTCAAAACATCATTTTAACAAGAGAAAAAATTATAACCATACCAAAATTACAGGAATAATTAAAATAGGTAATAAATTTGAATACTGCCACCATTTTATCTAAAAATATTTCTCAAATATTACATATTTGAGTAATTTGACATGCTAGTTATAATAGTTAGAAGTCAAAATTTATATACAAAGTGTAAAAAAAATTATGCAACTTACTAAAATTGAATTTCTGATAGGTTTACAAAAAAGTTTTGAATAAAAGTTTTATGAAATTATTCAAGTTATAAGTATAAGTTAATAGGACTGGGTTGGCCATTATTCTAAAATTAAGTAAGAATTTATTTTTCCGTGCTGTATTAAATTTAAAATAAAATCATTAAAACTGCATTGTGTTAACTTTATTAGCTCGAAGACTGTACTATTAAAAAATATCCTTGCGTTATTTTTGAGTAATAGTAGGTCTAGTATATTTCTAACTGACATATTTATTTCACAAAATTTTATCCAAAACTCTTTTTGTACATCTATTAGAATTCAATATATTAAAAAATTATCTGAAATAAAAACCCACTCGTCTTTCTACATCTCAACTATCTTAGAAGAAAACGCGCTTTTTACATTTACACCTTAAGAGTATGCTATGCTTGTCCCGCCTACGTCCTAACCGCTACAGGAAAGAGCGAGCGTGCTCAGCAGTTGATTCGAAATTCACGCGCGCGATAAGACCAGCGTTGCCAGTAATAGGAAAATAAAAGTACTGCAGTGATACTGAAAATGGTATTGACTGAAAATAAAAAGTACTGACAGTTGACAGACAGTTGCTCATATTTAACGATTACGAAACATGGAATTAATTACAAAATGCACAAATCAGTTATCATTGTCAAAAATTGTGCAACCTAACGCCAGAACCCAACCTTCGTGACTGACCAGGGCGTAACTTAAATCCATTTCTTGTTTCCCAGTATTCCCAGTAATATTAATACAGGGGATATATTGTACCCAATACTAAGTTTTGAATTCACTATATTTTCTTGTTTCTGCCTCTCTTAATTACTATTCTTACGTCTATAATATAGTAGGCATATCTGTAAACTCTGTGAGTCAAGCAAATTGAACACAGATGATTTTGTAAATTACAAACAATGGATCATGACATTTATAAAAGAACAAAGTATGTAGAGCAGTGCTCCGCAACCGGTGTGCCGCGGCACACTGGTGTGCCGTAAGCCGACTTGAGGTGTGCCGCTCTTGCAGACAATACGAATCAGATTCGTATTGTAGCGAGACCCGCGAAAAATAAAGCAATCTGACAACAGCGCCGATGGTAAACGTCTATCCGTCTATCGGCGCGGCGCGGCGGCTTGATTCTCGAAGGCGACTAAACTAGAAAGATCCGTGCCGTTCGAGGCGCGACTCGATGTTTTCCTGAACATCGCCACTGCCTATATAAGCGCGCCTGTCGTCGCTCAGAGACTCAGAGAGAGTCGAATAGTCAAGTGAATCAGATAAATACGCGGGCAAACAAATAAATCGTAGAGTGAAATAAATAGTGAATTGCTATATAAATAAATTCTTGTGCCTTATAAATAAGTGAACTGGACTAAGTTTTGTTGCAGTATCTACTTTTATAAATAACTATAGTGCTTCAAATATGGATAAATTTTTGCTGAAATCACGAGCAGATGACGAAGAACCTAGCACAAGCTCCAGCATAAGTGCTGCAAAAAGAGCAAAAAAGGTGCTGAAAAGGAAGTACAATCAAGACTACCTTCGATATGGTTTCACTTGGTGTGGCGACGAAGCGGCTCCAAAGCCTGAATGCGTCATTTGCGGTGAACAGTTGTCAAATGAAGCAATGGTACCCAGCAAACTAAACCGTCATTTGATCACAAATCATCCCAGTTGCGTCAAAAAAGACATTCAATTTTTCCAACGGCGCTTGGATCAAAATAAGAAACAAAAGCAGTTTATGAAATCGGCGGTTACGGTTTCTGAAAAGGCATTAGAAGCAAGCTACCTTGTTGCAAAATTAATTGCACAACAAAAAAAACCGCACACTATCGGTGAAACGCTTATTAAACCAGCATGCATGGAAATTGTTAGACTTATGCTTGGGCCAAACGAAGTTAAGGACGTGAGTAAAGTTTCTTTGTCGGCCGATACTGTTAAAAGACGTATCCAAGATATGTCAAGTGATATTTTGGGAACACTAATTAAAAAAATCATTTCGGCTGGAATTTTTGCGCTTCAAATCGACGAATCAACCGATATTAAAAATAAAGCACAACTGATGGCTATTGTACGTTTCGTTGACGAGGACTCTATTAAAGAACATTATTTATTTTGTAAGGAGGTTCCAGAGAGAACTACCGGTGAACAAATTTTCCAAGTAACTGATAATTTTTTTAAAATACATAATATTCAGTGGACCAATTGCGTTGCTATTTGTACAGATGGTGCTGCTGCAATGATGGGCAGTAAGAAAGGTTTTGTATCTTGTGTAAAACAAAAAAATCCGTCAATACAAATTACACATTGCTGCATACATCGAGAAGCATTGATGGTCAAAAATTTGCCCGAACAGCTTTCGATCACAATGAATGAATGTATTAAGATCATAAACATAATTAAATCGAGAGCCTTAAATTCGCGAATCTTTGGAATACTCTGTGAAGAAATGGGAAGCGAACATGAATCCTTACTGTTTTATACAGAAGTTCGTTGGTTATCCCGGGGAAAAGTTTTAGCTCGACTGTTTGAACTTCGCTACGAAGTGCGTGAGTTTCTTTCAAGTCAAGATATGTACGATCTATGCCAGCACCTTCATGATGAATACTGGATAGCCAAACTTGCATACATGGCGGATATATTCGAACATCTGAATGAACTTAATAAAAAAATGCAAGGACGGAATGAAAATATATTGACGTGCTGCGATAAATTACAAGGGTTCAAAAAGAAACTTGAACTTTGGCAGGAACAGTTGCAAAAAAGGATGTCTAGAAATGTATCACAGGACCAACCACAGTACGATCGAAAACAAGCAGTTGATTGTGGATTTGGCCCAACAACATTTAAGTATGCTTCAACAAAAATTTGAATACTATTTCCATTCTATCAACACGGAACAATACAATTGGATTCGAAATCCTTTCGCAACCAATGCAATAAGTTCCACGGAAGCACTGCCATTGCAAACTCGAGAGGAGTTCACAGAATTAAGTAATGATATGACCCTAAAACTTAAATTCGACGAAGTTCCGTTAGATGTTTTCTGGATTTCCATCAAGACAGAATATCCACGCATCACCGACAAGGCCATCTTCACACTACTTCCGTTTTCCACAACATATTTATGTGAGAAAAGTTTTTCAACGCTTGTATTAATTAAAAATGATAAACGGTCATGCTTAAAAGATCTTGACCAAGAAATGAGAGTTGCGCTGTCTAAAATTGAGCCGAATATAAAACTTTTATGTTCAACGAAGCAAGCGCAGGTATCACATTAATCAGTCATCATCATGTCAAAATATTTATTACTATTGACGTGTCAACAGAAGTAAATTTAGTATACCTACCTGTCCTACCTAGTATTTAGTATAGTTCTCATGTATGTACCTATTTGTATTTTTCATTCTATCTGAATAATAAAAAAAAATAAAAAAAAAATATGTATTATGTCCTGAGTGAAAATTTTGATGCCCCAAATCTGAAAGGGGCTTCTTCACATTTTAAAACAATAAAAAAAACTAAGGTAGTTTGGACATCCATAAATAATTAGTATACATGGAGTGAACTGACCCCCGACCTAGCTACGCCACTGCTATAAATATATTTTAGATTTTGGTGTGCCACGAAATTCTAGGGAGCAGTTTGGTGTGCCTCAGATGAGGAAAGGTTGCGGAGCACTGATGTAGAGTATGTTCTTTTACTAAGAGTAAACAAATGAAATATATATGTGTTACGGGCGCAGTTTTACATAGGCTTTGTTTGAAGCCAGTA